ATTATTTCACCACATTGTTGTTTTTGCAGTACTTACAATTATTGGCTTTCTGAAGCAAATGGAAACAGGAACTCAGAGAGGCACGAGAGAGATGGGCTTGACGGCAAACACTGACGGTTTATTGTGGAGTTACGGAAGGGAAGAATTGACAAGACAGGTGGTGTGTCACTAGTTTGACACAGCGGTTGCCAAAGCCAATTCGGAAGTACTCTTTCGGTAGCTTCGAGGTTTTAACGTAGTTCAGAGTGTAACAATCACATTCTTCATCAGGAGATAAAGCAATATGGACCGCCTGAATCTAACTAAAGCTCTCGTCCAGTAGAAAGTAATGGTGGCCAGGGAACTACGTCCCCTGATCAGTAAATCCTCATGACGGCTTGTGCTCTGTCATGAGACTGGCAACAACAACTGCGCCCCAAGCGGCCCTCCTTAGAGGAGAAGCAGCAATACCCAAGGCCGTAGAAACCATGCACCGAGAAAGGAGAGAGTGAGAGGAGAACAGCTAAACTGTACATTGCTCTTTAGAGAGCTCCTGCATATGTCCAACAAAAAAATTCATAAACCTTTTTATGGTTCCAGAGGGAGCTGCACCAAAAAATAATGATATGTCTCTAGTAATGTCCTCTTAAAGTCAGCATTGGCCGGATGGCTGAAGGCTAAAAGTTGTGATTCATTAAAAAATCTATATATGTTCGTTTAGATTAATTTCTTATTTTAATAGTTATTATCTTTCCTTTTTTTGTATCCTTAATTTTATTGAATCTGTGCCTGGGTCCTGTTTTTCAATCATTACCCTGTTGCTGTTAAACTACTGATTTCCCCCGGGGATTAATAAAGGTCTATCTATCTTATCTTATTTTACAGAAGCATGGTGTGTCCATAAACATATTGTCCACAATTGCCATCTCTTTTGTGTCATGCCGCACTGAAGAGACTTGCAATTAATTTGCCCTGGACCTTCTGCTTTCAGACCGAGTTAATTATAAGTTTATTACCTCTATCAATTAAAAACCAACGCAGAGGCAATATATAATATAATACATTATTTCATAATATTATGTATTTAGTATATGTTTATATTATATAGTTACACCGGCGCCTTGAGTGCAACCCATAATGCTGAATGTGGGCCCACGATGAATTGAGTTTGACACCCCTGGTTAAGGCCAACACTAGATTACAGGTAACAAAACCAAATATCCAAACACTGGCTGTTTCTCAATGTCGAGGTAAAGCTGCTGCAGAGTCCACTATTTCAAGTAATAATATGTCACCGAGTGGCGCCGAGATGCTGGTCATCTTAACAGTCCTTCGGGCGCCACTCGATGACGTACTATTACTGAAATAGTGGCCGTTCTCAATCGCGGAGGAAACTGGCTTCCAAGCCCAATATTTCAAGGATACTTACGTTCATCGAGTGCCGCCGACAGGACTGTTCCCAATGTCCCAGCATACTTGGAGATTCCCCTATG